TATATATATATATATATATATATATGTGGAATTGAAGTAAAATACAAGAAACAGAAGAATTACTGAAAGGAATGGTAGATGAATAGCTATAATCCACTGAAGAAAAGAGCTGCAAGAATTCGAAAACGAAATTAAAGAATTATTTTAAAGATTAAGAAATACGATAATCATGATAATAGGAAAGTAAATACATAAAAATAAAATTATAAGACGTTGAAATATCAGATGAAATACAAGCTGAAGGAAATATAGACGAAATATACAAGAATATATTGAGAATGAAGAAAGCAAAGAAGAAATTAACGTTATAGAAGAAAAAAGGCTATAATATAAAGAACTAAACGGAATAAAACAAGAAGTCTTACAAGATGAGAAGTAAGTAAATGTTAACAAGAAATACAAGGAAGAACACAAAATAGATGCAAGAATCCGTGTTAAAGAAAATAATAAAATTCTTTGGGACATTGAAATCCAAACAGATGATCGTTTCGAGGATAGCAGACCAGATACATTTATTCTAAAGAAAAGAAAGAGAACTTTATATATAGTGGGTGTTTTATATTTCAGAAGATGCACTAAAAGACGAAGAAAATAAAAAAAAAAGCTCGGCAAATATCTGGACATTATAACAGAATGGAATAAAAAAAAAAAAAACGTTGTGGAACATGAAAGTGACATTTGTGCTTATGGCTCCGACAGGAATTTAGAACGGACACACACCAAAAAAAAAAAAAAAAAAACGCCTGGAGAACGGACACACTGAGGGAAAAATCGAAACCGTTCAGGCGACAATATTAAGGAAAGACAATGAAAGATCTGTTTATTTATTTATTTATTTTTTTTTTTTTTTTTGCGATTTTCTTTAACATTTTTCTCCAGTGTAAGCCATCGGCTACTAGCATTGTCAGTATATAGTAAGTACGATACAGTATGTACTATGATAAAAATGGGAAATATGTCTAAACAAATGCGGTTAGGGAATTTACTTCATTCATTCAAACAAAAAACAACAAAAAAAAGAACATTTTTAAAGTAATCGTGATCTCCTCGATGTTGATAATGTTTACCAAGTTGAACATTACGACTGAGCAATGATTTCAGTTCTCAATAGGCACTCTTTATTTTTAACCACTGTCAACACTAGTCTACATTTTATGCCGCCTAGGCGTAGTATATGTTTACTTGACCATTCAAATTGAGTGGTGAGTTTTATCAGGAACTAGCAGCATGGCCCGGCGTTGCCCATGCTTGATTCAAAAATCGTACGACTCGTACAGCAATCGCTATCACTTGACTTAAAATATTTTTGCCCTTCCTTGTCTTTAAAGGAGTGCCTTTTGCCCTGCTGATGTTGCTACATGCCTTACTTCTTGCCTATCTCACACTGCGAATTTTTTCTAAGCTCTATACTAAACATTAAATCTGTTACGAAAAAAGAACTAAACAAAATGAACACAAAACGATCAGCTTTAAAAAAGAACTCGTAACTGGAAAAACCGAATGAAAAAAGAATGTTAAGAACAAATATTTTTTCACACCCAACCCAGTTCTGCGGAATCAAAATCAATGTTGAGTTTAAGCAAGCGAATGAGCCAGTTAGAGTAAAGAGCCATGCGGATTTAAATTTTTCCCACTTGTGACGAATGCAGCTATCGATTTTTTTGCATGCTAGTTAACATTCGTATCAGTCAGCTGTTGGCTCTCACGCTGGCCAATAGAATCTTCCTGCCTATTCGTGGCAGCTAGCTATAGGCTCTCACTCTGGCCAGTAGAAAATGGCCAGAAAACTACATGAAAACTGCCGTAGAAGCATGAAAAAATCGATTATTTCCACTATCGATTGGAGTTGGGAAATGCAAAGTCGGTCTTGGCCTTCCCGCTAACTTGAAGCATGTGCATGTAAATGTTGGTGCAAATGCATCGAAAATTGCAGCCGTGCATTCGGTACACACCCACCCACACACACACACACACACACAAACACATGCCCTGCCTTTTATAGATAGATATGTGTTCTTTTTACTTTTACTTGTGCTAAGATAAGCTGGTTAACCGACATGACTTACCGGCCCTATTATTGTTCCTGAGGCAGATATTAACCGACGTCAACCAACAATATTTCACTCGAGTGAATCTAACCCAGTAACACGTCAAGCAATGTTTAACTGTGTCTTATAAACACAAATCATTCTCAGTCTCCCGAAATATTCATATCTGCCCAGTTTTGTATCGTAACGTAAACAAAGCAATTTCAAAAGAAGTGATTTTTTTTAATTTATTAATCCGCCAGATTTTATTACTTAAACGTTATTTTTAGTATAACTATTTTTTATAGTTTAGTAGAGGCTCCGCTTATCTATTCTATCAAAGAGTATAAATTTATTTTCAATCGGCCTGCATATTGTAGAAATCTTATTAAAGGAGAAATATGTGCTCTGTGGCACGACTTAAACCTGGGTCTCCCTGGACAGGAGAAAACCTCGTTAGATCCGACTTGCTTCAGAACTATCGGGCACGAAGTGCGTCGATGATAAAGCTGAATAATACCTCGAAATATACATATCTACTCAGATTACTATCCTACCGTAAATAAAGCAATTTCTAAAGAAGTGATTGTTTTGTATTACACGTGATAGATAATTTCTTTACTAATTGCTTCGTTTACGTTAGGATACTGTTATATACCGTACCTATGAACACTAATGGGTATGTCCCAATCCTCATAGACACATTGGACGCTATTGTAAGTAGGGATAATATGCTGTTTATGCTGGCAGCTGAGTCTACCGGCAATTTTTACCCGGGCCCACGGATTCGGATTTCCCCATATTAAATTTGGACTTATGCCGCATCCTAGCTCGTGGGGAGGCAAGTAAATATCGTAAAATGTTGTCGAAGTAGTCCACTACTAGCAGTGGTTTACCTACTACGCGCGGCTGGCGAGTATTTTATTTTGTTGATGTTATAAAAATTACTATTTCATTTCCAAACTCCGTTTTCGTTTATCCTCATTCAGTAACACTTTCTAGGTTACAACTGTTAGACATTTTCATGACGGTCGTCCTCGAGTATAGAATCCAGAGGTTGGTAGTGAATATTTCGGAGACAGTAGGAAAGCGTAGTGCAGGTTCGCAGTGGATATCACAGCAGAGTGCAGTTCTTCCTTCTGTCGTGTTCCCCTGACAAGTTGGCTCTGGTCCTTCCGGTAGGGAAAACAAAGATGGCCGCTTTTATACACGACGGATACAGTGTTCTGCGGCTCTTGATTGGTTAACCTTCTATTGGTAGACTATAAAGGGAAATAAGTCATTCTGACTCGCTCACTAGTCATATCTAATATATACACAAAAAAAAAAAAACCGTAACAACAACATATACGAAGCTGAGCAGATGTTTTTTAAGCATTTCACTCCAAGCAAGGCGGGAGTGCCACTAGCACGCAAGAGGTTACTGAGAGTGGGAGCAAGAGCAAAGGGACGTTATTGAGGAAAGGATGAAGAGAAGGACAGGGAATTAGATCAAAGCATCATGAGATGTCAATTGACAATGCATTTGAATAGTTGGAGATTATAGCTGCCGGGGAAGCAAGTAAGAGAAAGGGAGTACATTAGACGGGAAGTGCGAGGCATGAAGCTATTGGAGTAGAAGAGACTGCTACATTTAACCGCTTCGTTAGAGAAGGGATGGGACTGAGATTCCAACCTAGTAGCACGTTTAAATTCATGCAGTGTGGGAACTAGCGAAAGTAGCTCATCGGAAAGTATTTATAAAAAAGACAGAAGGAAGCCACATCACGTCTGTGAGAAAGCGTCTGTAAACGACATGCCAGATCACGACCAATCACATTGCATATCCGTCTCTGGATTTCGTTGAGGACCTTAAGACGAACAGCGGGCCACCAGACCATATATGGCAGCAGTATTCCATGCAAAGGCGAATGGTTGATTTATAGATTTGAAGGATGGACTAGGACGAGAAAAAAACTTTCTGGTGCGACACAGTGAACCAACTTTCCTTGTGGTAGATGAATTCAATGTATTTGTTCCATCTCAGGTCAGCGGACAGTGTGAGACCAAGCAGGCAAAGTGAGGAGGTCTCGTGGAGTTGAGCATCAGGCATTATAATGGGAGGCAGAGAGGCTTCTCTGTGGTGGGTAAAAGAGAGCAATGTTGTTTTTGAGGCATTAAAGTTAACCAGCCATCTATGGCCAGTCTGTTTATTTATAATAGATTTTAATAGAGCAGTAATGGATAATAGTTAGGATTGTGGAATCGGAGACCCGAGTTCAAATTTCACTTGTTACATTCGCTTACGTGAAAATACCTTTTGAAAATGTATGAATCCATCTTTTCTCCTCAGTTATGGGTAAATAATATGGTAGATTGGGTCATATAGCCTTGAGTAGCAACCGGTCTAGGAGAAATACTATGGGTTAAATAGCCACACCAACGCAGAGTCGCTCCCGCAACAGAAGTCTCTGGTACGACACAGAGAACCAACTTTCCTTGAAGGTATTGATTCAATGTATTTGTTCTATCTCAGGACAGCGGACAGTGTAAAACCAAACAGTCGCAGAGAGGCGCTCTCGTGGAGTTGAACATCAGACATTCTAATGGGAGGTAGGAAGGATTCTCTTTGGTGGGTAAAAGAGATATGCATTTTATTAATTAAATCTAATTGTTATTTAAGTTTTTTTTATTATTTTTAAAACATCAGCTAGAATACTGGAGCATTGAGGGCATTTCGAAACTCTTTATATATTAGAACTTAAAAATAGATAAACCATTCTCTTAACTTTCATCTCCCGTATTGTTTCTGGCATAAAGTAATACTATTCTAAAGATGTTTATTTTATTATTTTATTTTACATTTCTTACGGATCAGTGACATGGAGGCATAAAGAATTTAAGTGTCTGTCGATTATTTAATCGTTTTAAGCATGTTGGTTGCGCGAGACTTTTAGTAGCCAGGTAGGGGGATAGGAAAAGATTGAAGACTCTATGCCAATCGTTGTGATTTTGAATAAGAATAGCATCGAGGTAAATATGATTTGATTCATTTTCGCTATTGAATCAACTCCAATCTGTCTACCCGTATCACAGAATTAGTATCCGTCGAAAATGTCATACATACAAATACATATCTATGCATTTGTAATTCATTTTTTTTCCGCTTTCACCATTCTGCATATTGATTGAAGAAGGAGAGATCGCATTTGGCAAGATGAGTTCGGTATCGGCTTCTGCTGATGGAATTATTTTAATCTAAATCACATCACTGAATTCTATCTATCTATAGCTATCTATCTATCTATCTATCTATCTATCTATAGCTATCTATCTATCTATCTATCTATCTATAGCTATCTATCTATCTATCTATCTATCTATAGCTATCTATCTATCTATCTATCTATCTATCTATCTATCTATCTGTAGCTATCTATCTATCTATCTATCTGTAGCTATCTATCTATCTATCTATCTATCTGTAGCTATCTATCTATCTATCTATCTATCTGTAGCTATCTATCATCTGTTTATCTAGCTATCTATCTATCTGTAGCCAGATAAATATTTATCTATCTGTAGCCAGATAGCTATCTATCTATTGTAGCTAGATAAAAATCTGTATCTATCTATCTATCTATCTATCTATTTCTATTCTTTAGCTAGATAGCTATCTATCTATCTGTAGCTAGATAGCTATCTATCTATCTGTAGCTAGATAGCTATCTATCTATCTATCTATCTATCTATCTATCTGTAGCTAGATAGCTATCTATCTATCTATCTATCTATCTGTAGCTAGATAGCTATCTGTCTATGAATGGGTGCTGAAAAGTTCAAGATCTTTTCGGGTAGTGAAATGTTCAACGCGCCTTCATAGACAGACTTCACAAATTGTGATCAAATGTCCAAAGATTTTTCTTTTATTAATTTTAAGCAGGGCCGGGGATTTTTCAACACTGCTTCTATCTATCTATCTATATAAGTCATTGTCTAACGATCTTAGTCATCTTCTATCTATCGATCTTAGCTTTTAACTATATATCTATCTAATTAGCTAAGATCTATAGCTAGAAGATGACTGTCTATATATCTGTACTAGTCAGTCAGCTTCTGTCTATATATCTGTACTAGTCAGTTCGCTTCTGTCAATATACCTGTACTAGTCAGTTCGCTTCTGTCTATATACCTGTACTAGTCAGTTCGCTTCTGTCAATATACCTGTACTAGTCAGTTCGCTTCTGTCTATATATGTGTCTTAGTCAGCTTCTGTCTATATATCTGTACTAGTCAGCCCGCTTCTGTCTATATACCTGTACGAGTCCGCCTGCTTCTGTCTATATACCTGTACTAGTCAGTCCGCTTCTGTCTATATATCTGTGCAAGACAGTAAGCTTCTATATCTATACGTATCTTAGTCAGCTTGTATGGAGGGCTGCTTGGAATTTCGCAATTCGAACCACTTCAAAAGAATCTGACCAAATAATGATACTTTGTTTTGTTTTCATTTTTTGAATGGCTACTTTGCTTCGGAAATTTCTATCTAACCTTCAGACAGTTTTCACAAATTGTGACCAAATATACAAAGATACATTTTGTTAACTACCTTTTGGCTGGACTGATCTTTTCAATACCGCTTCTATCTATCTAAGTGTTGCTGAAAAGGTCTCGATCCTAACCACTTCACAAAATATTACCAAATAGAACAAAGATTCTATCTATCTATCTATCTATCTATCTATCTATCTATCTATCTATCTATCTATCTTAGTCCTTTCCTTACAATGTATTAACGTTCTTTATAAACATCGATTCAACAGTCGCTTCCTATCTTTTAACTAAGTCTCCATCTCGTTAACTCCCACATGAAACACTGTAGCCCCGTTACTGCAGATGCAGTGTCGCACGTCAGCAGCTTCTCTCACCGTTCCTACGTCAAATATTCGAACGTGGTTCATTCCTTCCTTCAAAAATACTGCGTCCATATCTAAAATGAGTGGTTCATGGGTAAACACTGGTAAAAACAAAATTAAACTGCGCTAAGTATCCTCTGAGATGAGATCGTTGGTTGATTTTGTTTAGCGGTATACCAATCTCTGTGCTATTTAATGCGGAAATGTAAATATTTTATACAATATTATGGCTTCAACTACAGATATAATGTATTCTTGGTAATTCTAGTAGAAAACTTATTGCTAGCCATTCTACGATAAAATATGTACTGTTCTACATTTTACTATAAATATGTACTGTTGGACATTTTTTATAATAAAATGTATTTCTGGTATTTTTTTCCTATGTTTGTACTTTTATAGAGGTGCTTTTATTTGTTTGAGGTTTCACTATTTCCCCATAATTGGGTCCCTACCAGGTTCTACCACCCTGGATCAGTGTGTACCTGGGAACAGCAGCAGTTAAAAGGTCGTTCCACGCTCCTAAAATCCTCCAATCTCCTGATCAGCGACCTTGCTGCCGGATGTAGTTTATCGTCGTACACGGGACTCCTGACACAAGTCTACAAGTTCAGTCCCTTAAAATTGATATAGAAATAGCTCCAGTAGTAATATTCATCGAAACAAGCTTGCGATACATTATTCTGGTGCGAGACAATCTTAATTAATCTTTCTTTAGTTTGACACATAGCCATAGGAGTCTAATAGAATCCGTTTAAAATTCTAGGTAATATGATTTCAGACAATGATTTTCAAGCCTGTTTCTGTGACAACCAAAATTTCCCAATCTACCTACGTCCGTAAAGTCATTATGCACATAGGCGTTTTAGCATCTTCAAAAACCCATATTAATATCTTGCAGCCATTTTATGTGACTGAGGATGTCATTAGTCTAGTGATATCTCACCTGAATAGCTTTATAAAGATTAACGGTGATAATAGAAATAGTTGAATGGGATATAACCAAAAAAAAAAAAGATAAAATAAAATCAGAGGGAGAATTTGAATCTACGAGGACTGATAAAAAGGAATCGGGATTTTGTTACGGAAACGGAGGTAAAGTGCTTAGATTGAAACCGCTTGGTACAGATTGAAAATTAACAGTTATGCACGTAGACTAAGTTATACAGTTTTCGCTCAGTTTCCTTGTTTGTAACACTTCTTGGAAGGAGAGTGTGTAGAGTGTGTTCCTTCACTATACCACAGAGTTTCCATCAGTGAATCATCGCTTGTGCAGAAGTTATTGGCCAAGCACAACATTCCCCAGGTCCGACAAACACCATATTCTCCAGACCCAGCTTCCAGGTACACTTCCATCAATGAAAATGTCGTTGGATAAAATGCGTGGCTTCAGAAAGGGGGACTACTTCCAAGGATACTCAATGCTGAATTTATGTTTTGTCGTTTTACTATTTGTAGCCCCTGTTTTAATATTTTTTGGTCAGACACGGTATGTATAGAAATAGAGGTGAAAACTTGAAAAACGTGAATGGAGTGATAAATAAATAAAAGAAATGAAATTGATTTGAACTGTTATCTTTCTGACATTTTATTTGGATATCGTAAAAATATCCTCAGATGAAGATGAAAATTAACATTGTTATACATGTAGACTAAGTTATAAATTTCTCGCTCAGATTCCTTGTTTGTAACACTTCTTGGAAGGAAAGTGTGCAGAGTGTGTTTGTCTCACTATACCACAGAGTTTCCATCAGTGAATCATCGCTTGTGCAGAAGTTATTGGCCAAGCACAACATTCCCCAGGTCCGACAAACACCATATTCTCCAGACCCAGCTTCCAGGTACACTTCCATCAATGAAAATGTCGTTGGATAAAATGCGTGGCTTCAGAAAGGGGGACTACTTCCAAGGATACTCAATGCTGAATTTATGTTTTGTCGTTTTACTATTTGTAGCCCCTGTTTTAATATTTTTTGGTCAGACACGGTATGTATAGAAATAGAGGTGAAAACTTGAAAAACGTGAATGGAGTGATAAATAAATAAAAGAAATGAAATTGATTTGAACTGTTATCTTTCTGACCTTTTATTTGAATATCGTAAAAATCTCGTCATAGATGAAGAAGAAACTTGAAGCAATAGAAATATATATATATATATATATATATATATATATATATAGTTATACTCGTCTGGAAAAACCTGAGTTGTTTTGGCTTGTAAATGAACAAACCAATATCCAAGGAAAATAAATAATAAAAAAAGAAAGACCTAAGAACATGTAATTGAGGCGAAAACAATCGTCCAGAGTCCAAAGATAAAACCCCCCAAAATGAGTAAAGCAAAAGTAACTATGCCGTCAATATATCTGTAAGAATTTATTTATCTAATAAATCGAAATAGCTGTAGTCATCGTGGTCACAGAACTTTTTGCTAAGAACGACTTCTCAAGGGGCACCATTTTCTCTTAAAAAATACCTAAAAAATATTTAAATCAATTGACAATATTTCTGACATATCTAATATTTGTATATATACATACATACACACATATATATATATATATATATATATATATGCAAAATATCTATTAGCTTCTTTATTCATCATTTCTAACCATTTCGCTGTTATTCTTCTATTTTGTTGTATCGATTGTTGTGCAAGAAAAATCTAAACAGTTCTGGAATTTGCCTTGAACCGGCCTATTTATTGATCCATATAATAAATACAAATATCCGCCTTAATACTCCTTTCCCTACTAAATTTAATAAAAGATGATGCTCTTTTATAAATCATGTAGAATCGCTCCGTGTCTAGGTTACAAGGTCAAGAAAAGCTTTTCGCGTCTCAAGGCGTTTCTGTTTTGTCAATAATTGATTGATTCTCTTCTTAAATGGCACTCATAAAATAAATATAATACTAAACATATATAAATTTATGATATATGGCGATCATTTTCTGTTTCGTTTTGTAAGTTAAGTTTATGATTATATTTAATTTAACCAGGAAAAAATTTGAAGTCACATGACCGAGTCGTGTTCGTTATATTCAATTATATTATGGGGACGGTAGACATCCACCTCTTTTCACACCAGATATTAGTTAGTGCCAGTAAATCGAGATCATTTTCCTAAGAAATGTTTGCAATCTGAAAATATTTCCTGGCTTTAAATAAGCCGCAGAAAAAAAAAGAAAAACAAATATATGGAATATAACTTCCTTTTGAATTAAATAAATATTAAATATGTATGTGAGTGCGTCTTCAGTTTTTGTAATCGTTCAAAGTCCGGGAGAAGAATTTCTTTGAATTTTATTACGTCTAAGTCCTTTAAATACCTCTGGGGATTACTGCAAGTTAAATTGTAGGGCAGACTTGATTATCTAGCCGTGGTGGGCAATCAGTATACGATAAGTAGGACTCTGAATTTAAAACCTGAGGAAGGTTGCTGAAAAAAACTCGTTACACACGATATGTACCAGTTATCTTTATTCAGTTTTTGTGTAAATTATTCTGCAGACTATAATCAAATTATATGTCTGGGTTAGTCTTTCTGTTTGATTCTAGGTGAACTGTTTGGCGGTAATATGTTAGTGAGGACGGGAGACTCTCTCTCTATATATATATAAAATGTGCATCACATGATCAAAGGATGGAAAAGTGTGTTAAATTATATAGATAAGCACATGTAAATTCAAAAATATAAGTTAACATGCATATGATATATATTATAGACATTGGTCTCGATTTTGTCGTAATTTGTCATATCATTTCAGCTTAGAAATGAACAGTGATGGATTTGATTATCATGGTTTAGGCTTGTGTAGAGCCAACCGCATTTTTTTGGAAGATCTTTTCCCTTGGTTAAATAAAGATTCAATATGTAATCTTCTAAAAAATAGATGGAGCCGCTGACAGCTGAAGAATTACTAAACATTTTGATAAAATTAAAAAAAAAATAAAGACATATATATATATATAAAATGCGGATACTCATATCTGAGTAGACGTTAAGTTTATTTATTAAATAAATTCTTAATAATATACTCTTTAATAAATAAACACTATTCCTTAAAAATAAGGATTAAGTAAGAAAATCCGTCGGATTAATAAATAAAGATCCATCACACACACACACACACACATATATATATATATATATATATATATATACATAAACGTTTCATTACATAATATATACAAGTGTTGTCTATTTATTTTATGTAAATTCTTTTCATAACGTCTGATAAGTTTAATAAAAAACATTAAACGAAAAAAGAAATTCACAATATTGATCCATAATTTTAATGCAATCTAAGCTTTCGGCACTTGTCTATATTATTTAATGAAACGTGTATGAATGAAAAAGATGCTGTCTAAATATAAACACAATATATATATATATATATATATATATATATATATATATATATATATATATGATAAAAATATGATTTTAAGGTATGCTATATTTATGAATAAAAGTTAAAATATGTATATTTGGGCAGCATATCTTCATTTCATTAAATAATATAAACATATTATGTCTATTTTTTTTATAGCAATCCTGTCAATTTCTCTAACTATATTTTGGATGTTAAGTTGAAATTCAGCAATGGAGGCGCCGTATTTTTTCTTATCCCAGGAAATTTCGATCTCCTTCGAGATCATACTCAGGCGTGAATTGCGAAGACAAACTTTATTGTAGCTGTCATCGTTGTGATGATCGTTTCTATGAATATGTTATAAATATTTTAAAATTAACCGTTGTGGTTACAATGTTTTGTAAACAAGCATTCTCAGTGCAAGGGGGATAACCAGAAATGGTAAATTACAACATGTTGTTAAATTTTAGCTAACTCAAATGTGTTTTAAAAGATTACTACTATAATAAATTTTGGTCAGTGTTATTTGATTGCTTTTGGTATTAAGGGGGCCTCGATAATTTGAAGTTTTTGTTTTTAAGAATGTAATTAGGGAACTAGAAAGGAGGAGTATTATTATTATAAAAATAAATTGACATAATAAGTATATATTATTTAATGAAACACGTACACACACGCATACATATATATATATAT